TCTCCTGGGAAATCTATTCACCATGACTTTAATTCTGCTACAGTGAACAAGCTTAATGAGCTAGGTCAAAACGCTTCAGCATTTATGGCTCAGGTTGATGAAAAGCTAAAGGAGTTACAGAGCACATTCAAGGGCTTGGTCTTCAAGCCATCTACCTCCAAAGCTCGAAAGAGGAAGCAAAACAAAAGGAAAGGTATCAAACGAAAGTTAGCCAGGATGGAGAATGCAAGAACAAGAGTTCTGCAAAAGGTTTTACCAAGGGTCAACCATGACAACGTTGATATAACTATTGGGGTGGAAGACATTTTCATTGCAGCATTAGTAAGTTTATCAAGAAGGGAGGCAAAGGTTTTGCATGAGACACTCAAGTCAGACAACCGATTCTCAGAAGCTGCTAAGGCCTACATTTCTGATTCCTTACCACCATCCTTGGCCTTATCTGATAGTGAGAGCCTAAGTGACTCTCACTCTGATCAGTGACAGACATGGAACTGTGACATTATTTTAACAACCAGTCTGTGTTAACCAAACTTCTCTTTAACAGTTTCTTTCAGATATTGAAAATTGTTGTTGTTGTTGTCATCTAATAATCAATTCAGTTGGTGCGACTGGGACTTTTATACATTTCAGTGGCACAAAGTTCATTTGAGTCTCAAATTAGCTTTGTAACGTTAAGGGTTCAAAGATCAGTTTGTATAAACTTGTATAATATTTAAAAAAAATTAAGTGACCCCCCCTCTTTGTTGTGTCAAATTTAGGCTGACCCTCCCTTTTTGGGCAGGCAAAAAGTTAATGACCCTCCCCTGAATTCCTCCGGCCCACCCCCCCTTCTAAAAAATGAATGCTCCCTTAAAGAGGGCTTTCGTAAGTTAAATTCGGCTTCAGGAGAAGAGAGTGGGAGATACACGGTGACTCAGACCAGAGGAATCATCACAAATTTAGGAGCACAAGTTAGTTCCACTACTAACGACGGGGAGATATCTGAATTTCTTATCAGCTTCTATATAGACCAGATTCGAGTAACATACTAAGGCTTAACGAATCAAGTTAGACGAAGAACAGGCCAACTGAATTCCTTTGTTAACTTCGTTAACCAAGTTCGATCCCTTTCATATTTCATTCAGCGTTGGGAAAATAATTCACAGAAACATGTGCCTCTGCTTGTGACTGGAATAAAAAGCAGTTCTTCCTTTCCAGAATGGTTTGGTACTATTTTTTAACCTGAGATGTGTAAAGGAAGCGTAATAATACAGCATAAACTGTGTCAATTTAGCCACACCATTTAATAACTTACATTTTTTAATCAACAGACGCTACAATCTTCAGCTGAAAATCTTCAAACCGTCATGCAAACAGCAGATGGTAGAGATAAAGACATTCTTCATAAAAGAGGAGTTGAAACGGATTTCAAATACAGAGAAGAGTCAATGAAAGATGCACCTACACCAAGCAACAACATAAAAGGAAGTCAGCAGACACTATTTCCGAGGGAGAATGAAAATAAGCAGGAGGCTAAAATCACTGTTCACACAACACAAGAGGAATGGACAACTAACAAAGAGCGCATGCCCGTAAGTGTTTGGTGTGGTTATGAAAATAAGTGATCCTTTTATATACAGGGTGTCCCAAAAGTTTTGTTTCTTTAATTTCATGTGTTATAACTTTTGATCACACCTTTATTCTTGCATGAAATTTTAGAAGGTTTAATAATATAACATTAACCGTGTCAGTTTAGCCACATACATTTTATAACTTACAATTTCTAATTAATAGATCCCGCAATCTTCAGCCGAAAATTCCCAAACCGTCATGAAAACAACAGATGGTAGAGGTAAAGACATTCTAGATAAACAAGGAGTTGAAACGGATGCCAAAGACGGAGAAGAGACATTGAAAGATACACCTATATCAAGGAACAGCATAAATGAAAGTCAGCTGACACTATTTCCGAGGGAAGATGAAAATAAGGAGAAGGCTAAAATCACTGTTTACACAATAGAAGAGGCAATAACAACCAACGAAGAGCGCACGCCTGTAAGTGTTTGGTGTGGTTATGATAATGCATGATTCTTTTATGTACTAGACTTTTTTGGCGCTTTAGTCATGTTTTTACTTCCCTTTACTCTTGACTAATATATTGGATCAGATGTTTTAACTTAGCAATAGCGAGCTTAAGGGACAAAGACGGCGGTGGTTTCGAAAACGTCGCTTTATAAAAATTGAATTTGAATTACTTCAAACTTTATTGCACTTTCTATGCGCTTTCGACTGTCCATATTAAGAAGTTCGAAAACGACTAGAGTTGCACTTTGAGAAGTAACTTGAACAATGTGCGCATCCTACAATCACACGCCTGCCATATTTCGTCTGTCTCTGAAGGCGTAATCTAATTTTTCTTCCAGGACCCTAAAGAGGGCTTTCTTAAGTTAAATTCGGCTTCAGGAGAAGAGAGTGGGAGATACACGGTGACTCAGACCAGAGGAATCATCACAAATTTAGC